AAAAAAAAAAAAAAAAAAAGAACCTCAATGGTTTCGCACAAGCAGTAGCCCCGGCCTGGAGCACCATTCACCAATGACATCCTAGATTCCGCAGGACTGAAGGTCTGACAGCTTTACAGCACTCTACCCCTGCCTCTGTGTCCTCCCTTCTGGACTTCTCAGCTCCAGAACCAGGCCTGCATGTAGTAGGCAATCAACAGACTGGTCAGAATGGACGACTACCAGCGTGGGGTAACGCATCTGACTGCCTACGGATCAACAGACAGATCTTAGGGGACAAAGCCCCGCTTTGCAGGGAGCCTGCTTCCCCCCCTCCCTCTGCTTGTACTCTCTCTCTCTCTGTCAAATAAATAAATAAATAAAATCTTAAAAAAAAATAGAATGAAACTTTGGGTTTTGAGTCTTCAGAACTTTTACAGAAAGAATTCCCCTTAAAAGAAGCTTTCAGTGGGGCGCCTGGGTGGCTCAGTTGGTTAAGCAACTGCCTTCAGCTCAGGTCATGATCCTGGAGTCCCAGGATCGAGTCCCATATCAGGCTCCTTGCTCAGTGGGGGGTCTGCTTCTCCCTCTGATCCTCCCCCCTCTCATGTGCTCTCTTTCTCTCATTCTCTCTCTCAAATAAATAAATAAAATCTTTAAAAATAAAAAAATAAAAAAAAAAAAAGAAGCTTTCAGCTTCGCCATTTTCTGGATTCCGTCCAAGCCAACAGCTCCATCACAGGTTTGCCTGCTTCTTGCCCGTAGGGGACGATGTGCTGATGCTTCGGGACAGGCAGCTCTGAGGGAGATGTTGGACGGACCAGTGCAGTTCAAAGTGTTTGACAAGCATTACCTCACGTAACCATCCCCACAACTCCCCAAACAGGTCCGTTTGACAGAGAAGAGAAACCGAAGGCACGGAGAGCCCAGAAGCTTGCCCAAGGGTACACGGCAAGTGAGAGGCAAAGCCTAGTGTTGGCAGCAAAGGTAAGAGTCCCAGAGGGAAGATGAACCTCAAGGAACCACTGGAGATTTTCCCTCCGATGTCCGCACAGTGGCTGATCTGGGTGCTATTCCATTCAAGGATTTAGCAAGTTTTCTTTCACCTGCTTCAAATTCTTTAAGAACACCAAAACAAACTGGCTACCCAGTAGACCATGTGCGGTAATTGAGGACTGCCGACTCAGAGGGCGCACTGCAACGTAAGTCTTGTAGTGACAGGGCCTTTCTTCCAGAAGGCCCACAGTGTCTCAAGCCTGTCCCTAAGGAGCCGACAGGTTTACACAAGGGCCAGGTTTACAGAACCGTTTCTGCTGACCCAAACACAAGCATTTCAGTTACATATGGGGCTCTGGGTGTGCTAAGTGGAAGGAGCCTGAGAGAAAAGACTGCATACAGTTGGATTCCACTTCTAAGACACTCCTGAAAAGGCCAAATGCTAGTGTCAAATAGTGTCAAAATGCAGCTCTGTTTCCAGGGTGATTTCCAGGTTTCCGGGGGTGGGGGGAATGAGTGTAAAGGACCACCAGGGAACTTTCTGGTTACATGACTATGAATTTGTGAAATCTTATTGAACAGACTAAATAAATTTATGAATTATATGTATGGTAATTATACCTCAGTAAAGCTGCCAAAAGGAAATTTAATAAAGAGATTTTATTAAAAAGTTAAGGTGCAGCCAAGTGAACTGATTATAGAGAATCCAAGCCTATGGGGAGCCAGGTTGTTTTAGATCCTGATTCCCTCATAGTGCATATTCCACTACATACCTTCCAATTCTGTCTTGCCATCTGAATAACAATACTGTGTTCCCCACCTGCTCATTCCGGCACTTATTCAAGCCTAGAATATTGCGATCATGACTGGAAACAACACACAGGTGTGAACACTGTACTGATGCTTATCAATTGTTTCCTTGAGCTACCAGCCCAAACAGTCTATAGCTCTACTGTTTGCTTTACCTTGTGAATCTTCAGTGTCCTCATCTGTGGAAGTGGAAGGTTATGCTAAATCTCTTCTGTCCACCTCTTCAGTCACTTATTAATTCACAGACATTTCTGAGGACCTCTTTATTAGGCATTTAAAATAAAAGCAGTGAGCATGAAATAGCCCTGCCCTGAAAAATCCTGCAGTCTAGGAAGGAGATTCACACGGACTTCTGTAGACAGTGCAGCTGCTGCTTGGCTCGCACTCTCTCTCTCTCTCTCTCGCTCTGTGGACATTCACTAGTAGTACCTGACCACTAACCTGTGAGGAAGGCCAGGCTACCTGGAGGGGCTGCTGGGCCTGTATTCTGGGCGATGGCTCCAAGTGGGAGCCAGCCTCAGCCTGCAGAGGAGTGAGTGAGCATTCCGGCGGCCGCACCTCTGCGTAAGAGACAACCTTATTTTGCTGGGTGAAATCCACACTCAGAACTATGAGAGAGAACACGGAAATGCTCAACATCCTCTCCGGGCATCCTTGAGGATAGAGGTTAACAGCTATCTGCCACCCATCCCAGGAATCCGGAGGGCACAATTACCTCTGGAATCCGTGCATTCCTTGTCCACCCGAAGATACACACAGGCCACCCCATCTGCACCGCAGCACAAGGGGCCCTCCCTAAATGCAGACGGACGGTGAGTGAGCGCTTTAGAGGCAGAGTTAGGTTTTACAACCGTTTCTGCTGACCCAAACACAAGCATTTCAACAGCAAAGCAAGCAGACCGACTCTTCTGGGATCTGTTCCTTAAAGTCTTTCCCTTAGCCTGACTTCCGTCCACGAAGAAGTTTTCCTTGACCTTAATAAGCGCTCTGTACAGGCCGCGCGGCCTCCCCTCATTTCCACCTACGAGGGCTCCTGGGGGAAACGACCCACCACACCTGAAGCCCTCCACACGAACCCCCGGTAGCCGCCGCGGCCTCCATCCCGAGGGCAGCCCCCCCGGGGCCGGGCCACGGACCAAGCAGGTCCCGCTGCGGGCGGCGCGGCCTGGAGCCGAGTCCCGGCCCCTCACCCTGCGCCCAGGGAACCGCGGGGCCCTCTCACCTCGGGCCGGCTGCGCTTCTGCAGCAAGTGCTCCAGGTAGAGGTCGGAGAGCGCCGTGCGCATGCTGCCCCCGCCCTCGCCCTCGCTCGCCTTGAGCGTCATCTCGCAGGAACCTGGACGCGGGGCCGCGAGCCGCGAGCCGCGCAGAGCCGCGAGTACGAGAACCGAGGCCTGCGGGGCGGCGGAGGCGGCGGAGGTGGCGCGGCCGGACCCGTCACCACCCCGCAGGCAGCGCGCTGGGCGG